AAGCAATTTTATCTCGAAAATTATTATTGTGAACATGCAATATGAAAGCTCTTTTCTTAATCTACCTGTAGTAGATTAGTAATGCTTCCTTCTCTCTGACTCGAGCAGCTTCACCGCGTCTTTTCGTCAGATCTGCGCGAGAGTGCGCGTGTGTTTTTGCTCAGTCGACCAAAGTCTGGCGTTCTGGTTGGGTTAGGAGGTTGTCCTCCAAACATCTGGCCACTACATCCACACCTCACAGACGTACACGCAGGTCTTTCAAAAGCACATCACACGGCAGATTTGTTTACACCTTCTGGCCGTTGGCTGAGGTGCATACTCGTACACGTAATCACGGTATGAGGGGCAGCTAGTGTGACCCGGTCACTCCTCACTTTCCCCTGCAAAAGCACAGGTGACTCTGTTTAATGCGGCGTAGGTGGCCCTTCATTTGCCTTTCCATGAATTTTGTCATTCTTCACAGGCCTGTTTCACATGCGGACATATTTGTTTTATTGCACATGTTGCAGCATTTACATTCAGCATGAGTTTGCTTTACAGAAGCATAGCTGCAAGTTTCTGTGCTGTGCCTGTTCTTGCCGAAAATAGGTTGAAAATGTGCTTTTAACCTATTTATCAACATAGTAGTTTGCATTAAAGGCTTTTATACACCAAAAAGGCACACAAACAGGAGTTTCTATTCCGTAAATCTGCCTGAATCTAGATTTTTGAAGCCATTTATAACTACACTTTGGGTTTGGGCTCAGTTCAGTGTAGATTCATTTATATTTTGATGCAAATGTGATGTGATCCTTGTGTAAATTTTCATTTTAATGATGATCAGGTTCGTAGTAATTCTCAATGGCTAGCTCCCAGTAACTATTTAAGCATTTATGGTTGTTATTAAAAGAGATACTCAATGTAGTAACCTAGAAAGCACTATTTTCTGGTTAGAACCGCAGTTTAGCAGAAACTGTCGTTGTGAAAGTGCAACGCATGTTTGACTGCCGCGCACACGTGTGCTGTGAAACAGGCCTGTTGATGCAGCAGCGTGCGGTCGCGTTTTACTTTTGCGTTTTTCTTCAGCAGGTCTGTTGTAGTGCAACTTTAGGCTAACTAATTAATAACAGCACTAAAAAAAAAACTCCCAGATATCAACCACAGAGCACAGTCATGGGAATAAGCTTGATGATATTGTTTTAGCTGTGCTATATTCGGACTTGAAGCTATTTGAAGAATCATCCTACCGTCAGGATTGTATTACTGTAGTCTGAATGCTTATCGTTAAGTAATGAAAGTAATTTTTATATCAAAATTTCCTTCACTTGTTACCTTCATGTTTATAAGAATAGATCATTCAACCAATATCACTAGTAATGTATTGATGTTTGTATGTCAAAATACTTTTGATAATTTACTGAGCGTTCAGTAACCTAAACCCGAAATGTAGAAGGCCCAAAAGTTTCGCAAAAACAGAACACGACTCACATACTTCACCACCCAGCTCACATATACACTGAATGTGTCCCCTTATATAAATCTCCCTATGTATTTAGTCATATTTTAACTGTTGTGTTTGAATGTGAAATATTGTAACTCTCAAATAGGAAAAGATGGAATATAATCACAGAAATACTTCAGAATAGTACTAGTTTAATAGTAATAGTTTAATAAGAACAATAGTACAACATGCATCATATAATAATAACAGTTTAAATATACTTGTTTAACAATGCGTTTTTTTCTTCTTCTTTTATTTCACATTTTCTTTAAATGGAACATTTTTCAAAACAAATTCATTTTTCTGTTCCCCAACCAGACGAGACTTCGGTCAGTTTTGAATTAGAGCTGGTAAGTCTTGTATGGGTACGTTTTGCGTGGAAATGCAATAGATCGATTTGAGAGAAAGGCGCATCAAAAGACCCTGCAGTGACAAAACATTAGATGGCCATTATTTTTCTTTGAGCTTTACGAATGATCGTCAAACACACACAAGCCCCTTTCCACGATGCCACACCAGCATTATACGGTTCAAACGACTTGACAACTGGGAGTTAACGTTAGTAACGTTATATTGAGTTAGTAAAACAGAGGGCTGACGAGGTGTAGCAGAGAATGTTTTCATTTTTGCATCAGCGATTCAAAGTCTTCCATGTTATTTATGTTTAATCAGTTTGCAGAACATAAAACCCTTAGTTGGTGATTAAAGTCAACATGAAATCTCAAAATGTTCCTGTGGCTCAGTGGTACAGCATTGCGTTAGCAGCGCAAGGGAACACGCACTGATAAAAAATGTCTAGCCTGAATGCACTGGAAGTCGCTTTGGATAAAATCATCTGCTAAATGCATAAATGTAATTTTAAATGTAATGAAATCAGAATTTACCTTCTTAATACACATTTTATTGGCTTATTATGAATGATTGATAACTGTAAGTACTTTTTTTTTTTTTAATTTTTCATCTAGCTGTAATAAATGCATACGCAATGACTTTTGGCTGATGTCAACAATTTCTCCTTTTTCAGCCCCTTTTCTCTAGTATCTGGCTTGCTTATATGTAACGCTAACTTTCATAATCCAGTCAATTTCAAATGCAATTTCAAAAAACACTGTTTGTTTTTCCTGTTTTTAAACTGCCATATCACTTTGAAATACATAACATTGTTTACAGAAGCGAGTCGTGAATGTTGTTTCGTGTTGACTTTAACCAAGTTTACCTCGCAATATGATTTCTCACACTCACACGTGCTTGCAAACTATTACATATTTCAAAGCAATGTCTCATAGTGAGTGAAGATATTACAGGGATGCAATGACTTTTGGCTGATGTCAACAATTTCTCCTTTTTCAGCCCCTTTTCTCTAGTATCTGGCTTGCTTATATGTAACGCTAACTTACATACTCATAATCCAGTCAATTTCAAATGCAATTTCAAAAAACACTGTTTGTTTTTCCTGTTTTTAAACTGCCATATCACTTTGAAATACATAACATTGTTTACAGAAGCGAGTCGTGAATGTTGTTTCGTGTTGACTTTAACCAAGTTTACCTCGCAATATGATTTCTCACACTCACACGTGCTTGCAAACTATTACATATTTCAAAGCAATGTCTCATAGTGAGTGAAGATATTACAGGGATGTTTCATTAATCCAAATCCAATGTAATAAGCCATATAGTTCGTCTTTATAAACACCAGACATAGCTGCGTTGTTTTGCTGCAGTGCTTAAAAAGCATCAGAATCTTCTGAAGTGCAAACATGTCCCTCTTCATGCCAGCCTGCTTCCCCAGGTGGCATCGACAGCCAGATGGTCTTCATAACTGTTGTGAGGACTCATATTTTAGTTCAGTTTAGGTTTTAATTCTGCTCATCAGCTGTTGAATCTCAGTGGTCTATCATAGGGAGAAGACGTTTGCACAGCTGCATCTCCTGTGAAATTAAGTGTGATGGTGAGGTTTGAAATAATAAATTCCAATAGAAGACTCAGAGAGGCTTCAGAGCCACAAGAGAACATCGGATTCAAATAAACCAGGCTTGATTGTCTTGGAAGCCATCAAAAGTTTATTTTTGATTCTGGTTGGTGACTCATGAGTGATGTCACCGTTTGTGGGCGGAGCCCCGATATTTGCACAAGATTGTATACCACTTCCATCAGCTCTACTTAGGTAGATGTCAAATGCAACATCTACATACAGCATCCACTTCTGCTATTTTAGTACTCTTGGAGTAATTTGTCGGAGCCATGAGGCAGCATTAATGTATGTGCTATAGACATCTTGGAGCCAAGGTGCTCACCCGAGTATTGCAGGTTCAAGTCCCCAGTATCTTCACTATATCTGTCCAAAAGAAGGCTGCATCTACATTAATCCAGATACATCTTCTTCTCTATGTTTTGGCCTTTCTTCCACACCGAGACAGCATTTTTGTTCTGTGAAAACTGATCTTTTTGAAGATGCACTCCAAACACATGTTTCAGCATTGTAGTGTGGACTGTGAAAACTCAAGGTATTTGAAACCAATGAAGTATGTT